AAGACCTGTTTGTTCGGATTCTTCCTGGTGACCCTTCTTCCTGGAGATAAAGATGCTTCTTTCCTCCGGGTATAGAGGGGCACCTGTTAGAAGAGGGTCTTATGACCTGCTTCAGGGGAGAAGGGTGGGGGACAGCCAGAGAGATCTTCCTGCTCCTGCTGTTTTCTCAGACGCCTTCAGCTTAAAATATCCTATATGCTAAGGTGCATGTTTTGGGCTACTGTGTTCTGAACCTCATCAGCTGGTTGTTAAACATAACTATAATTAAATATTAAATTATATAAATTTACTATTAAATAAACAATATTTTAAAAGGTAATAGATATCCAAAAAGCTTCCCTTCCTAACTTCATTACTATCTTTACCATGGTCTGCGTTCTTGCAGTTATGTCTATCGTGAGTGGGTGGTGGAAATGACACCATGCTGATCATTTCAAATTGGCCGTGGTGGGAGTATTTACACCACAAAAATTGCAGCCATTAGACATCAGGGCCTTGTTTTGGTTTGTTTTTTAAAGGAGAGCTGTTTGTTAACCATCTGCAGCCCATGCCTGGATTTGGTGGACAAGTGGAGAGATTGGCCCTCAACTAAGCGGCAATAGTTTGTCCACAAGAACAGGAGAGAAGGCAGGGCGTTTGGACAGGTGGGTAGATAGGTGTGGTAGAGAGATGTTTCCTATTTACTAAGGGAAAAAGGAAGCAAGGTAATCACCTGAGAATAAGGCTGGGGAGGGAGGTGTTGGAGGTTTGAAGAGAGAGGAGCCTGGGACAGTAAGTGGGTTAGAGAAATGCAGTGTTTTTGTCTAAGCACCATTAAAAAGGCCCCTTGAGGTTGGTGGTTATGAATCTAAAGAGAGGCCTGGGTGTATAGTTTTCCTCCAGGCCCTTTCGGTGGCTTGGGTGAGGCAGTAAGTGGAGAGCTGGATTTTTCCAAGGCTAGGGTTTTGCCAGTCCAGTATGACTATGTGTAAGCGAGATTATAAACTTATAAATGAAAAAGCCACCACTTCAAAGACCTCCCTTATTTATCCGAGCTAAAATCATGCCGCCTGTAACTTTGACCTATTATCCTGCTGCTTTTTCTATTTTGTGTTAAATCATCTGACAGCAGGGACTGTGCTTTCCTTACTGCGGAATCCAGTGCCTACCACAGTGCTTGGCACATAGTAGGTGCTCAGGAAGTAACATGTTGGATAAATTATCGGATTAATGGATTCACTTGCTTGCTCCATGATGTTTAACCTTTCATGAGCGTAGGATTTCCTTACGGAGTCAGATGCAGATACGTGCAATTTTTAAGTACTTGAGATGCAACCTAAAGCCTCAGAGGCAGCTGCCCGGGTAGTGTGAGTAATGCAGTTGTTGGTCTTTGTCACACAGGACTCGGCAACACGAGGAGGTTTATATTACAATCCCTAAACTTGGAGGGAGGGTAGTTTATGTATTTATTATTACTGTTTTTTAGTGCTGCCAATAGCGGCTTAAGGCTCCAGGAGAGGTGATGACAAAAGCTCCAGCGCCAAGGTCCAAGCCTCCGAGGAACTGTGCCGCGGCTCCCGGGAGGATACTTGGGTCCATAGGCGTGGTCGGGGGCGTGGCGTGGCCAGGACGAGGCGTGGCCGGCGCGGGAAGGGCGGGGCCGGGGCCGGGCCGCTTCAGGCGCCTCCAGCCGATTCCGCCAGGGGCCCCGGCACCTCCCGCGCCCGCCGCCCGACGGGACGCTGGCGGAAGGGGGCGGGGGCGTGACCGACTGTCTGGTTCTCTGGACAATAAAGTTTAGAAAGTTTGAAGAAGGAGGAGAAAAAAACCTCCCACGCCCCTTCGGCTATCCTGGCGCGGACGCCTGCGGCCCGGCACGTACAGAGCTCCAGCAGCAGTGTGCTCGCGGAGGCGTGGCAGGCGCGCCGGAATGGGAGTCACCGTGGACGTGCACGAGGTGTTCAAGTACCCCTTCGAGCAGGTGGTCGCCAGCTTCCTCCGAAAGGTATTCACCCAGCTCCGTCTCGGCCGGGGCTCGCATTCTCCCGCGCTGCCCCGGTGGCTCAGCGGTCTGCGCTCCGGGCAGCGGGCGCCCGCAGCTCCCCTCACCCCTCTGCCCGCTTGGAGGTCCACACCCACGGTCGGTCTCCCCTTCCAACTGCGGGTTTCGCCTCTGGGATGTGCTGGGCGAGGGAGGGGGTGGATTTCCTTGAGAGCTCCCCCACCAGGATGAGGGAAAGGCTCCGTGCGCGGCAACACGTTCACACCCTGCCCCAGCTGGAGGGAGAGTCGCGGGGAACCCAAGTTCTGGAGCCCCGGTGAGGCTGCACGGGGCTTCTCGATCTCTCTAGTACATCATTGACTCCTTCAAAGCTAGTGGAGGCTGTTGAAGCCGTCAGCTACCACCTCACCACTTTCTCTTTCATTAACAGCTTGGGACTTTGGGCAGTCCCCATGCCTTAGTTTTGTAATATGTAAAATGGGAAAAATAATAGTAACACCTCAGGAGTTGTGAGGATTCAAGTGAAATAATTCCCGTAAAGTGCTTATCACAGTGACTGATGCTTGCTAAGTTTTTTAAAATATATTGTTGTTGTTTGTGCTGCTGTAACTGTACACCCTAGCCTCAATATTCAGTGGCCCTCTTTATCTCAAGGGCTGCTCCTGGGACTGTGGCTCCTAACAGTAGAATGGGAAATTTCTTTCTAGTCTGGTTCTGCCTTTAGTTAGTTCACTTGATGGCCTTGGTCAAGGGTCATTTTCTCTCTAGGCTTCAGTTTCTGCATCTAAGATGTGTCCACTTAAAAAAAACGCACAACCGAAAAGTTGAGAATTATGTTTTATTGGGCAGACTTGCTGAGGACTTAAGCCTGGATACAGCCTCTGAGATAGCTCCTTGGGGCTGGTCTGAGGAGGTAAGGGAGGGGCCAGGATATATAGGAGTTCAAACAAAAAAAAGGATAGTTGACCATCCAAAGATTACTGCTAATTAAAGAAAACGGGACATCTCAAGTTAATGAAATTAGTGTTTTTCTGTGTATGGAACAATGCAAGAGTCTGGGTTCATTGAAATTCATTTGATAAGTGCCTTAACTATCTAGGACCTGTATCCTGTTTTACTCTGTCCTGAATCCCCTCAGGGTGCACCGCTGGGGATGGCTGCAGAGGCTGAAGGACTTATGGCCACAACATCGTTGGTTCACTGAAATGGCAAGTGACATTTTTTGTCCACAGATGAGTGTTGTATCAGATCTTCTTTCGGCTTTCATGATCTTGAGGAAGATTTGCAAGAATTGTAATTTGCCTTGGACAGCTGCCACTGGCAGTGCTCCCGGTGTGCCACCTGGAAGCCGGGAGATGGATTGTTTTAAGTGATAAGACCTGACCTCCATTAGAGGATGCACTTGGGGGCCCAGGTCACAAAGGAGTGAGTAGGACCCTGGTTAACATGATGTTGCCATGGAGGCCTTTTTGGCGGGGGAATGTCAGCTGGTTAATATTGTTAATTATCTCCTGTATGTAGTACCTGGTACCTACTAGGTGCTCAGTACAAGTCTGATGAATGATGAATGAATAAATGAATTACAGATGTGCTGTAGACTTTGCCTTAGGCTAGGCTTCTGGGTCCTAAAGAGAAAAAGCCAACACCCCATTTTTGTTTTAGGGCTGGCACTTTGAAGTGTGGATTCTCCAGTGTCACTGCCCCTTTGGAAAGTCTTTCTGGATTGTCCTCATCAGGAGGCAATCTCTGCCTTGTCAGAGCTGGAGGGACACTTTGGGCCTCAGTGACCGTCTTCTACAGTGTTGGGTAGTTACTACTGCATGTATCTTTTCCCTCATTAGACTCTAACCTTCCTCGGGGTAGGTCTCACTCCTGAAGAAGCACGTAGCACAGTGCCAAGCTCTCATTTAGAGAGTACTTGGCATGTGTCAAGCTTCTGGGCTAAATGCTTTTCTTTCATTCAGCAGATGTTTAGAGACACTTTGTGTGCCAGGCTCCGTGCTGGGTGTAGGGCACCACAGACAGACTCTCTTCTCATGGAGCTGATGGTCTCTGGTGGGTGAGACTGACATTAATCAATGATTAACAAGTGAACACGTAACTCCAGCTGATGATGTGTATTTACACAGGGAAAGTTCACAGTGTTGTGAAGTCCCGGGGGGTGGCATTAGGGAAGACTTCTTCGAGAAAGTGACATTTGTGAAGTGATGGCTGAAACGTGAGACGAGTTTCCTAGGCCAGCGGGGCGGGGGAGGAAGTGCTGTCATACATTATCGTTTTTACAGCTTCAGGAATTAGTTATGATTGACTTCCATTCCATGGTCTGGAGAAACTGCGGTTCAGCTTCCAAGTTCCCACAGCTAGCAAGTGGGAGAGCCAGGATTTCAACACATCTGACTCTAAGCTCACACCCCCGAATCGCCAGGCTGTGCTGCGTTGCACATAATAGACACTCAGCTAATCACTGAGGGAATACAGTGCTGTAGACTCTACTTTGCGTGCTCTTTATCCAGTCTCAGTTTCCTTTTGCCTGCAGTCTTCTCTCAGGGTTTATTCATCTCCATCCGGTTGTGCCTGGTCTAAGGGTATAGCTTTGAAGGTGCGAGGGTGAGAAAATACATTGTTTTGGTTGTCTGCTGTGTAACAGATCACCCTAGTGATTTAGTGGCCTAAACCAATGGTAAGCTTTTGATGGAAAGCTTTTAATTCTCACATTTCTACGAGTTGACTGGGCTCAGGTGGGCAGTTTTTAGGTGCCATGTGTTATAGCTGAGGTCGCGTCTATAGCTGGGTTCAGTTAGGATCTGGAAGAGTTTTTTTTTTTTTTTTCTGCGGTACGCGGGCCTCTCACTGCTGTGGCCTCTCCCGTTGCGGAGCATAGGCTCCGGACGCGCAGGCTCAGCGGCCGTGGCTCACGGGCCCAGCTGCTCCGCGGCATGTGGGATCTTCCCGGACCGGGGCACGAACCCGCGTCCACTGCATCGGCAGGCGGACTCTCAACCACTGTGCCACCAGGGAAGCCCTGGAAGAGTTCTTATACAATACTTAGCAAAGTGCCTGGCACATAGTAAGTAAAAACTGAGGAGGACATTTTGGAAGGTAAGGCTAGGGAAAGTGGAGGAGAACATTTGCAGAAAAGGTGTAGGGGTGGGACAGTGTTATCTCTATGGACATTACACTTGCATTCTTTCTATTCACAAGGTAGTCCTTCAGAGATCCCTGGATGGGGCTATGTGACTGTCTCTAGGATGTCAGTAAATTCAGTTGCTCTGAGAATTTTCACCTTATTTTACATTATTCATTCTTTTTTCTTTTCTTTTCTCTCTCTCTTTTTTTTTTTTTTGGCTGCGCGGCATGCGGGATCTTAGTTCCCTGACCAGGGATCAAACCTGTGCCCCCTGCAGTAGAAGCGAGGAGTCTTAACCACTGGACCACCAGGGAGGTCCCCACCTTACATTATTTAAAGCCATGAACTGGAAGTCAGTAGACCTGGATCCCAATCATTGTGCTTCCTTCATTAAAAGCAGTTTTGAGGTGGCCTTGGGAAACAGTTTTCACCAGCCTATCCTGTGCCCTTGAGCAAATTAGAAAGGGGCATCATCTAGGTGGTCTACACCCATAAGCTCACAGTGAATGGGGCTAGTGGGAGGTGCATGGGGCTACTTATGCAAGTTAGAAAAACGTGCTCCTTCTTCTACTAGGTGCCCAATGGCCTGCTTGACTGGAAAACCTTGTGCAGTGAGCAACATGCACAACCTTAGGAGACAACCCTACTGTCTTAATTTCTTATCCGTGAAATGATATGCTATGTACCCCACCAGTCTCCCAGGATTGTTGTGAGTTTCAGATGTGTAACAGTTTGACAAGCATATGTTTCTTTTAAAGCATAAGGTAGTAAGAATGATCCTTTTGGCAAAATAGCTTTTATTTTTCTTTTAGTCTTTTTGTATTTTTTTTTTTTATTCAAAGGAAAGCACTTGGCAGAAGGGACAATCGTAGGATCTCTGGGAAGCATTTAATCTGATTTTGCACAATGGTATGTTTGAAGGTGCTACAGCACTGAGGAAGTTCTATTTTAAATAGAGTCTACTGATCTCTGGCTTTTGGTATGTTAGGGCTTGCCTTCCAAGTTATAATATCCTGCTATTTTTAAAACCTGAGGAATGTTTGCTCTTCTTACACCTGCCTGTTGGATACTACAGGCAAAATATTAGCTACATGCTTTCAAAGCTAAGTGGCACCTTGAAAGCAAACACCACAATACTCTTTGTTCGTGGAGTGCAATGTTTCTCGTTGAACTCTTCATGGAGGAGTGCTGTGAAAACCAAAATGGTTTATTCATAAGATGCTAAACAGTACTTTCCATGAACTACAGTGTCAGTGCTCTTGACAGTGTGTTTTGGTTTCTTTCTTTGAATGACTCTTAGCTTTCTAGTTCTCATCGTTTATAGCTGTTTCCTTCCTTCTACTTAAAACCATCTGCAAAGAGAACACACTGTTGCATAGATGGATATAGCAGCTGATAGGCTTACTCATCTCTGGAAGCTAACATGGGTCCGTTTAATGGGCTTGCCTTGCATGAGCTGGATTCCTAGATTTTCTAAAAATTTCTTCCTAAAAGACTTCCTAAATTTTGTCTACCTGAAATTTAAAGTCATACAAAAGGCCATTATGTGGCCTGGATTTTTCTTGTTTATTCTTAAATGAGGCCAGAGAGGCTACAGTTTTTCTTAGCATAGAGTTGTTCAGGTTGATTTTCTTGTTATGCTGTAGGTAAAAGAGTCACTGTGAATAGAGTATAAGCTTCATGGGTGGAGATTTTATCATCTGTTCCTGATGTATCTCAAGTATCCAAAGAGATCCTGGAACATAGTAGGGACTCAGCAAATCCTTATTGAATGAATGAGTGAAATACTCTCTTCAGGATTTAGCCTTATGTAATTTCAGACCGAAGCCTGTGTGGATTCAGTAATATGTCCTTACTTTGGGTACTGTAATCAAATGGACAGATTAAAATAATTTCTTTGCTTCAACACAGTGGCCTTGGATTTTATTCATTCTAGCCAGGAGCTTGATGTTGTGAACAAAATGGTTTGAATGTTTACCCTTAAACTCAGAAAGGGGATTTATGAATGGCTATTTCCGCTTAGAGTAGAAAGTTGATTGGGTAATTAATAATGTTTCCATTTCTGATCCTATTTTTTCTTCCTTGCATATCTGACACGTGTGTGGAACATCTCTCCCTACAGAGCTCCTGAAATATTGGGAGTGGACCCGTATTTTCAAAATAAGTGATTTGAAAATGATAGGCCTGGGTTAGCATAATGGTTATTTATCTTTTTGTTCACACTATAATAGTCTTTCTTCACTTTTATCTTCCTATCCTCAATTCTACTAGAAAATTAGGCGCAACGGGAAGAAGGTGAAGACAGGAAGAGCGTGGGCTCTGACATCAGCCAGGTGTCGGGGTGCTTCTGGCTGTGTGAGTTTGGGCAAGTCAGTTCATTTTTCTATGCCTCAGCTTTATCATCTGCATAATATTAATAATATCTTCTGGAGTTGTTGGGAGAAAGTAAGTTGGATAATGCACACAGTTGCATACAATATACATAGTTTAATGTCACCACACAGTAGGTGCTTTAGTACTTGTTTAAAACAAGTACTTTTAAAGTACTTGTTAAAAATCGTTATAGTAATACTAACAGAAATAATTTATGACATGTAAATCCATGAACTTGAAAATAAAAAGCTGAGAGAAGTAGTCTGCAGAAATCTTTTTAACTTGGAGTAATTAAAGGGAGAGTAAGCATGAATAAAGGTGCATATTTGAATTATGACTTTTTTTTTTGTGGTACGTGGGCCTCTCACTGTTGTGGCCTCTCCCGTTGCGGAGCACAGGCTCCGGACGCGCAGGCTCAGCGGCCATGGCTCACGGGCCCTGCAGCTCCGTGGCATGTGGGATCTTCCCGGACCGGGACGCGAACCTGTGTCCCCTGCATCGGCAGGCGGACTCTCAACCACTGCGCCACTAGGGAAGCCCTGAATTATGACTTATTTTTAAAATGTCATTTAAATAATATTAAAGCATACTTAGTGAGTTACCTAGTAGAGGTTGTGGCTTAATCAGTGCCTGAAAGATAGGAAAATTTTAACTATCAAAGTATAGTAGTTAAACATTCATTATATTTCTCCTAATAGAAATCCACAATAGGTCTGTGTATCATTTGGCCCTTGGGAGATGAAAAGCTAAATAAAACATAGCCCTGGCCTCAAGGAGCTCACTGTCAAAGGGGACAAAGGGAAATAAATTAATTTTTGTGATAAGTGCCTTCTCAGGGGCATATCACAGACATACAGTGTGGGCAAGATTCATGTTTTAATTATAAATCTGTAAGAGCTTTTAGAGTACTTAGAGTTTGTTGCCTTTTTTAAAAGTATTCTCTCTATTCTCTTCTCCAATGTGGCGCTTTCCCTAATGCTAGTAGGCAGGGATGTGTCAAGGAGTCCTTGTCGTATCTTCTACAAATTCTGCAATGGTAAAGCATGAGCTTGTGAGGTTTTACTAGTCTAGGAAAATAAGAAATATCTTCTAGTAATTTTTGAGTAATCATTTAAATATATCTGAATTGCAAATGGACACTAATAGTATACTTAATACGACACCACAGTAAGTTACAAGATAAAGACTGAAGTCTTGAAAGTAAGTTTTCAAAAATATTGAGTCATTTTTTAGTAGCAAAACCAGTAAGGTGCCAGGTGTTACACTTTACATAAAATTATTTCCTTGAATTCCTATAACAGCTCTTTGAGGTAGATTTTTTTGTTTTGTTTTTGTTTTTCTAATTTTACAGATGAGAAAACTGTGACTGACTGAGATAATTTGCCAGAGACTCCCATAGGTGGGCTTCAACTGAGGTCTCTTAGATTCTAAAACTCATTCTGTTTCCCAGACTGTCTTTATTTTACTTTCATTTATTTCTTAACTTTTCATTTAGAAATAATTTGAGTTAAAAAGTGTTGCAAAAACAGACAGAAAATTCACATCCTTAACTTCCTCAAACCACTATATAATTTTTAAAATCAGGGAATTAACACTGATACCGTGTTAACTCTCCTATAAACATTGTTCAAATTTTGGCACTTGTTTACTAATACGATTTTTTTTAGTCTAGGATTCAATCCAGGATCCCACATTACACTTAGTTGTTGTATCTTAGTCTCCTCTTCAGTTCCTTAGTGCTTTCTGGACCATGGTGCTTTCCAAGAGTACTGATTAGTTACTTTGTAGACTTTGTAACTTTAAATGCATTGGGTTTGTGTATGCATTTTTTTAAAAAAATAGATCTTTATTGGAATATAATTGTTTTACAATACTGTGTTAGTTTCTGTTGCACACCAGAGTGAATCAGCCATACGCATACATATGTCCCCATATGCCCTCCTTCTTGAGCCTCCCTCCCATCCTCCTTGTCCCACCCCTCTAAGTCATCGCAAAGCACCGAGCTGATCTCCCTGAGCTGTGCTGCTGCTTCCCACTAGCTATCTATTTTACATTCAGTAGTGTACATATGTCCATGCTACTCTCACTTTACCCCAGCTTCCCCCTCCCTGCCCCCGTGTCCTCAAGTCCATTCTCTATGTCTACGTCTTTATTCCTGCCCTGCAGCTGTGCTCATCAGTATCATTTATTTATTTATTTTTTTAAGATTCCATGTATATGTGTTAGCACACAGTATTTGTTTTTCTCTTCCTGACTTACTTCACTCTGTATGACAGACTCTAGGTCCATCCATCTCACTACAAATAACTCAGTTTCCTTTCTTTTTATGGCTAATATTCCATTGTATATATGTGCCACATCTTTATCCATTCATCTGTCGATGGACATTTAGGTTGGTTCCATGTCTTGGCTATTGTAAGTGCTGCGTTTAATGTTTAGGGAAGAGGATTTTCCTTGGTGTCACAATTGTATGAATGATTCTTTTTAATAAACTTCATTATGTCATTGCCAATTATTGGGACATTTTGGTATGAATGAGCGTGAAGTGACGTTGGTTGGCCTTTGTTTAGAATCATAACTTGTCCCACCAGAAGGGCCTTTGAGGATCATCTGGTGGTCTACCACCCGGGCTTCACAGATGGCAGCATCACAGTCTGCACATCTTGCCTCCTTGTCCTTTGTTTTTTCTACTTCATCCTCCTACTGCGAAGGCCAACGAACAGCCATCCAAAACGTCCGTTGACTTAAATGTGTTTAGTCTTTGACATTTTGACTCATCATTTGGTCTTGGTATAAAGTCAGCTTTGCTTTTCGTTTAAGATAGACAATAGTATGTAGCTCATAAAGGGAATTTGGCACAGCTCGCAGTGATTTCTCTGTGTAGTTAAATGCCATATCTCTTTTCAACAGCTCCATCCCTTCGTGTGTACATGTTTGGCATCAGCCTGGGTAGCAGAGATTCCCTTAATGCTTATAAAACTGATATGTTAATATACCAGACTTACTTTAGGTCTCCTTGGCCTTCTTTGAAGGACTAATACAGATATATCAGCTTAACTGCTTCCTCGTGCTCTCTTGGATAATGCCAGTTGGAAGTTGGTAAACAATGGCTTCTTTGGAGGTCATTGACTTTTTTGGTGGGAGTATTATAAAAGGCAGGCATAGACTTCTGAGCTTTTTGGAAAGTTGTGTCTTTCTTTCTTTTTTTTTTTTTTTTGCGGTACGCGGGCCTCTCACTGTTGTGGCCTCTCCCGTTGCAGAGCACAGCCTCCGGACGCGCAGGCTCAGCGGCCTAGCTGCTCCGCGGCATGTGGGATCTTCCCAGACCGGGGCACGAACCCGTGTCCCCTGCATCGGCAGGCGGACTCTCAACCACTGCGCCACAAGGGAAGCCCCTTTCTTTTTTTAAAAATATTAATTATTTATTTATTTGGCTGCACGAGGTCGTAGTTGCGGCATGCATGCGGGATCTAGTTCCCTGACCAGGGATCGAACCCTGGCCCCCTGCATAGGGAGTTTGGAGTCTTAACCACTGGACCACCGAAGTCCTGGAAAGTTGATATGTTAATAACTCCTTACTCTCTTAAGAGTCGGCTTTATGAAAGCTTATTATATTTTCCCCCTGTAAATAAGAAACGTAAATATACCCTATCTTCATGGATCTACTCCCAGAAATATACTGAATGTTATTCCTGTAGTTAGATGGACTCTATTTCTTGACCTCTCACTCTTCATAGCTATGTATTTGTTTTAATGTGTATTTTGTTTTTTACCCATTATTTTGAAATTTTTGGCCTCTTGCCTTTTAATATGTAAAACACATGAAAGCAAGGTATATGACAGTGTAGGAGAGTCTATGTTTTACTCTTGTTAGACTGTTACATACATATAATATAAGCAGTGATATTTGCAACACATTTATGTCTTGGGGAAAGGGAAGGGATTAGTTTATACATTCTGTGAAGAATGTAAAAATTATAAGTAAATTCAGAATGAACTCAAATATACCTTGAAAAATCCCTTGTGTCACCCAGAAAGTATGGCAAATGTGCAGAGCCCTGTGCAGTAATTATTAGCCACTGCAGTTTGTGGTCCCCTGATTGAGGTCCAAGGATGGCAAGGGTTTTTGGTAGATATTTGGGTCATCAGTCCACTTTGCTTCCATGAAAGCCACTAGTGTGGAGCGGGGACCGGAAGATCCCAGGGTTGCCCTGCTCGTGTGCAGGTCTTATGCCATTATGTTTTTAACATGGAGACTTCTTATCTTAACACTTGTTAAGAGATTTACTCATTTTGAGGAGGACAAAATGAGATAATACATATGGTGACCTCTAATACGGCACTCTGCACGGGCAAAGTAGATGTGCAATTAAGTCTTTGATGGGCTTGATCCTGATCTAGCTTAACCCTTTCCACTGTCACACTGTGTTTGTACAGGTGTCCAGAAAAACCCGGTCACCTGCTTCCTGTCTTCCCAGTTGGCATTCCTGGTGGTGACCCTCTCTGAGCAGCCTTCCCTCTCTCGACCCCTTATTCGCTGACTTCAGATACATTTTTGTGAATTCAATCATGAATATTCAAGTTACCACAATATGGTGTCAGAAAATTTTGAGTAATGCCAGGTAGGGGGCGCCTCAGCACAATAAATCTTTATTTTAAAAAAAGTTAAAATAGATGCCTTTCATGTCATGGTATTTAGCTATTGTAAATAAACCTCTGATTTCTTTTTCCATTCTCGTATGGAAGGAGACTCGAGGCTCGCGTCTCTTCAACTCCAAAAGTAGTTGCATAGGAAAATGCCTTGAATCTTGTAAATGAGTTTACTGGAGTGGATAGCTTAGGATTTCTTGTGTTTGGCTGAGGCAACTTCCATTTTACTTTGTAATTTGCAAGAATTGTCGAATGAGTAACCCTTAAGTATTTTACAATGGCTCCTCTTCATGATTTCCCAAGCCCCTGTTATCCCTTAGTCTGATTTATTTTCGCCTTATATATTTTATTTTTTGTTTTTCTGACTAACGTGTAAACTCTCTAAGAGGCTACAATTTTGTTTGTTTCGTTACTCTGTCCCTAGTGCCTGGAACGGTGCCTAGGTAGTCGGAAAACTGTAAAATAGTGTCACTATTATTTAAATCGATACCCTTCACCCTAATAAGCAGATATTAAAGTTATAGAAAAGCGTGAGTAAAGCATTTGAGTTTATGATCTTTAGGAATTTCACTGATAACTTTGTGAAGTAATCAGAACTTGGGAACTTTTTATCATTAGCCTTCTCTGGTGATTATGTTTCCAACCTCTTTCATAATTTAGTTCAGTCATCTTCCTACAGCTTACAGTGTATTTATAATATTCAGTCAGTCAGGATGTATTGATGAATATAATAAAATGAGTAAAATAGAACTGTAGTAGAGGCAATATTCTCATACTCTCATTTTACCTTAGTATAAAAGTTCTGATTTCTGTACACACACACACACACTAAAAATTAAAGGCATCTGTGTGAGTCTCAGATGTCTCCCTCACTTCAAGGGTGTTGTGTAAGTGAAGCCCCCTTGCTGAGGGACAGAACAGCTAAACCTGACCCCCTGTGATGGACATTATCTTCAAAAAAATACTGAAGGTTAAACTTCAAGAAAACAAGCGTCGTAATTTTGAGCATTTTTTTCTGGAGCAAACATGAATGAATGAATACATAAATATTTAAACAGCCATGTTGGGAAATTCCTTGGCAGTCCAGTGGTTAGGACTTGGTGCTTTCACTGCTGGGGCCTGGGTTTGATCCCCGGTCGGGGAACTAAGATCATAAAAGCCGAGCATGTGGCCACAAACAAACAAACAAAAAGGCAAGTTGTTGATTTGTTATCAAGATTGCAGCTGCCCGGATGGGAGTGTGACTGGCAGAGTTTACGGCATGGGATGTGATGTGGTGTTGAGGATGCCAAGGACTGAGCCCACTGCTCGCTTCATAGATTGGTTCCCCTGGTCCTCGAAGGGAGTAAGGTTTAGTTTCCGCATTGGTCCCGGAGGTCAGCAAGGTTTATCTTCCAGATTGTTCATTCATTCGGCAGATATTCATTGAGTGCCTGCTCTGTGCCAGACCTGTGCTGGCTGGTGGAGATACAGAATTCCTGCTCTCGCAGAGTCTGTGTTCTTGTCCCAGGTCTTTTGGGGCCACAGATATCTGTAACAATGTGTGAAAGTGACGGATCCTTTTCCCTGAAAAATCAGTCACTCAGTCAACCTCATATTATACAAACTGATGCATGCAGACACAGAGCTGCCGTGGGGTGGGGAAGAGCCCTGCTCGCTGAGTTTTGTAGACCATTTCCTGGGTTCAGAAGGCTTAAAGCTCAAGCTTACCAAGTGGAGGGCCCTGTCTCCCCCCCTCCCCGCCCCCCGCCGAGCCTGTTCGCTGCTCTCATCTCCCCCTCAGCACCTTACGGTGTTTTGGGTAAGACTTCCCTGTGATTTTCCTTTCCTGTTAGATCGCATGATGAAGCAGTAGACCTCTGGGAATAGAGCCTGACAGGCGCTCAGCAGGCCTGGTCAGCAGCCTGCTTGTCCTCTGGCTTTGAGGACTTCTACTGTCTGAGTCTCTTTTTGCATCTGAGCAGTGCAAAGGGTGGGGTTTGAGTGACTGAGGTGTTTGAGGGTAGGTTAGGTGGGCAGGCCTTGAAGGCAAAAGAAAGTATCTGTTGCTGAATTACAGTCTTGATGCTCATTAACTGGGGGATTTTGAGCAAATGACTTAGTTTATCCAAGCTTAATTTCTCACAAGTGAAAGGGAAAAAAAACCACCCAGAATGTAACTCATGGAATAGTTTTGAGAATTAAACTGAAATAATATATTAAACTGCCTAGGACAAAAATGGTAGCTATTATCAGTTTTTTTTTCCATAAATTTATTTTTGGCTGTGTTGGGTCTTCGTTGCTGCGCGCAACCTTTCTAGTTGCATTGAGCAGGGGCTACTCTTTGTTGTGGTGCACGCGCGGGCTTCTCATTGCGGTGGCTTCTCTTGTTGCGGAGCACGGGCTCTAGGCACGCGGGCTCAGTAGTTGTGGCGCACGGGCTTAGTTGCTCCGTGGCATGTGCGATCTTCCCGGACCAGGGCTCAAACCCATGTCCCCTGCATTGGCAGGTGGATCTTTTTTTTTTTCTTTCTTATTAATTAATTAATTTATTTTTGGCAGCGTTGGGTCTTCGTTGCTGCTCGTGGGCTTTCTTTTTAGTTGCGATGAGCGGGGGCTACTTGTCATTGCCGTGCGCGGGCCTCTCATTGTGGTGGCCTCTCTTGTCGCAGAGCACCGGCTCTAGACACACAGGCTCTAGAGTGCAGGCTCAGTAGTTGTGGCGCACGGGCCTAGCTGCTCTGCAGCATGTGGGATCTTCCTGAACGAGGGCTCGAACCCGTGTCCCCTGCATTGGCAGGCGGATTCCTAACCACTGTGCCACCGGGGAAGCCCTGGCAGGCGGATTCTTAACCACTGTGCCACCAGGGAAGCCCTGTCAGCTTTTTATTAACATGAAATTGTGTTTCAGGGGAATTTAATCAATAAATAAACTTATTTTTTTGTATTTTTTTCTTTATTGAAATATAGTTGATTTACAGTGCTGTGCCAGTTTCTTCTGTACAGCAGAGTGACTCACCATACACATATATACATAAATAAACTATTGAGCACCTGGCATAGACTCCTTCTGTGATTATATTCCTGTGATGCTGACCCAGCCACCAGGCAATAGTAAAGGACAATAGTGAAGGAATTCACTATGTATTGATACTAGGCCTGATTTCATTTTGTGGCTCTACCACTAACCAGCTGGGTGACCCTAAGCTTTCTGATTTTATTTAGTTTCCATTTAGTTTCTGAAAGATGGGATAATGATATCCCATGACCCAGTCACAACAGAGAGGCTGATTTGAGAAAAGATCATGCAAGTAAAGCATTCAACACAGTGCCTCATACAAAGAACACGCTTGATTTATGTAAGGCTGGTTAAATATTAATAGTATTATTTATTAATTAGCTTAACCTAACCTCCCCGTCTCCATCCAGAGCTAGGTTGACTCCAAAGAAGGTTTCTCCTGATTTCATACAGGTCCAGTTGATGACAGCATCTACTTACCTATTTCAAACTAGTAAAATTAAGACTCTTGATTGAAAACTGGCCTTAGAGATTGCTTGGATAATATTTACTGTTTCTGCAAATAACTGGTTACTGTGAAGTAATTCACTTTGGTAAAAAAAAGAATGGTAATTTTTCTTTATGTGTTTTCATTTAGTATCCAAACCCCATGGATAAAAATGTCATCTCTGTAAAAATTGTGGAGGAGAAAAAAGGTAAGTGCTACTGATCTTTGTAAAGATGTGTGTCTTCGTGTGTGTGTATGGCCTGTTATATATATATATATTTTTTTGCGGTACGCGGGCCTCTCACTGTTGTGGCCTCTCCCGTTGTGGAGCACAGGCTCTGGACACGCAGGCTCAGAGGCCATGGCTCACGGGCCCAGCTGCTCCGTAGCATGTGGGATCTTCCCGGACTGGGGCACGAACCCGTGTCCCCTGCATCGGCAGGTGGACTCTCAACCACTGCTCCACCAGGGAAGCCCTGGCCTGTTATATTTTAAACAGGTATATTAACAGGTATAGTTCTGTATTCGAGGCGACTGATAGAAAAGAGCACCCGGCATTTCCAGCAGTAGAAGGCTTGCCTTATGCTCTTGTCACTTTCTCCATTAAGAATTGATGACAGCTGTGACAGTTTACATTTTTGAACACTTAATGTGTGCCAGGCACTCTTACTTTTATTAACTTAATCCTCAGAACAATGAGGTCACATGGCTATGTCTCTTGATATATTCGTATATCATTTTATAGATGGCAAAATAGATATTACTAATAGCATGTATATGAGATGTGACTGTAAAATGATTGGATTATGGAATCAAAACTGCTTAACAATATGGTTCAGTATTGACTAGAGTAGGGCTTGACAAATTATGCTTGTGTTGCCTGTTGTTGTAAATAAAGTTTTATTGGCACACAGCTATGCCCATTTGTTTATGTATTATCTGTGCTTACTTCCTTATCACAACAATAGAGTTGTGGTAACAGAGACCGTATGGCCCACAAAACCTAAAATATTAATATTTACCATCTGGCGCTTTACAGAAGATGTTTACTGATCCTTGGACTGGAGTGTAGGAGTCTTTCCTGTTCTCTGTCATTTACATCTCCGGTAGAAGCGTTTTCACTGTCAGTGTTTGAACTCGAGAGCTGGCAATGAAGGAAGCTATAATGATGCACATCATCAATGTGTAAACCTTTGAAGACACCCAGGCTCGGTCTACCATGCTCTTGAACCTTCTGAGAAAATGTATGAGATGTTCATTTCGTGACCCTGAGCCATTCTCTCTGTTTGGTGAAGAGAGAACTGTCTTTGCGAGGGTATTTCCTGCACTTCCATAACTCTGTAAATATGATTAAAAGCCGTTTTCTCAGGTACCTGCACTCGTAGGAGAAAGGTTTTATATGGCATTAGAAAAGTCTGATTTCAGGTCCTGATTTTGTTACTATCTACATGAACTAACTTCTTGGAGGCTCTATTTCTTCATCTGTTAAATGGGAAAATAATAACAAACTGCCTTTAGGTTGTTGAGAAGATCAAATGATTGAACAATGTGCATATTTCTAAGTGGTTAATTATAATTTCTACCACTGACAGGGGCATCTTTGCCTCCGGGAGTGGCTCATCCATTTTCACTATGTGTACTGCAGACATTGGATGAGATGGCCAAAGGCATGCCAGTAGGCAGAGGAGGTGAACCCATTTCTCACCCTACCAACAACTTCTGGGCACTCAGGGTGTTTGCACCAAGGTTCAGGGCTGTTATAGCCAGAGCTTTGAGAAACTGTAGGAACATGCTGAGTCACAGTAATTCACAGAGCAAAAGACAACACTTCAGAGTTTATATTTTTCTCTGATTTGGTTTCCTTTTTTTCTCAACTCACATTTATTGTGTTTTTTTTTTTATGTCCCTCGTGCTATTCTGTAAACTTCTTTCCAAAACAGAATAGTTCCAGCCACAGGGAGTCTGCTCCCCTACGAGAGAAGAGTATGCCCAATATAATTAATAAGAGGTTTATTCAAAAAGAGTCATGTACCAAAATGTTCATTGCAGCTTTATTTATAGTAACCCGGAGATGGAAACAACCTAAGTGTCCATCATCGGATGAATGGATAAAGAAGATGTGGCACATATATACAATGGAATATTACTCAGCCATAAAAAGAAACGAAATTGAGTTATTTGTAGTGAGGTGGATGGACCTAGAGTCTGTCATACAGAGTGAAGTAAGTCAGAAAGAGAAAGACAAATACCGTATGCTAACACATATATATGAAATTTAAGAAAAAAAAATGTCATGAAGAACCTAGGGATAAGACAGGAATAAAGACACAGACCTACTAGAGAATGGACTTGAGGATATAGGGAGGGGGAAGGGTAAGCTGTGACAAAGCGAGAGAGAAGCATGGACATATATACACTACCAAATGTAAAACAGATAGCTAGTGGGAAGCAGCCACATAGCTCAGGGAGATCAGCTAGGTGCTTTGTGACCACCTAGAGGGGTGGGATAGGGAGGGTGGGAGGGAGGGAGACGCAAGAGGGAAGAGATATGGGAACATAGGTATATGTATAACTGATTCACTTTGTTATAAAGCAGAAACTAACACACCATTGTAAAGCAATTTTACTCCAATAAAGATGTAAAAAAAAAAAAAAGTTTAAATTTGTAGCCAGAAACCTGTGCTTGAAAACATGTTTGGTGCAGAAGGTGGCAGCATCAGATTCTCCATCGTTTTGTTAAAACATTCTCTTCGTTGGAGCTGAGCAGGGGGCTCATTGGCCATGGCCATTGGAGTGTTGACGTTGATAGTCCTGAGCAGTGAACGATTTACAATTCTTTTTCCTTGAATTTAGAATGTGCAGTGTGAGTGGCTAGCTATTTTATCCTTATTCCTTGCTCACAGATATTTGCAGGGATTTGGCCCAGAAAAGTGGTCAGGGATGCTGGGTTTTGAGTTAAATATTTTCTCTGGGAATTCTACATATCGAAAATTGAGATTGACATTAAAAGTTTTATTGACATTAAAACAAGAATACATTTCCGTCAGTTCTTTTTTGAGTGTAAAAATTTTCTGTTTCTAGATGTGTCAACAGGGATCATCTATAGAAAGAGGATTGCAGTCTGTCAAAATGTGGTTCCAGAAATTTTAAGGAAGGTAAATTCATTTCAAAATTTAATCAGATTTGGTGTAACGTTGGGTGTTTTCCAAATAGTCATGGAAAGAGATAGCATTTTCTGATGTGAAGGAGTGTTAGAACTTCCCCAGTTCTCCTACCTCAGAGCCCTTCTAAGGAAGAAATCTGTCTCCTGTCCAACCTCAGTTTTGACAGGTGCTACCAGAGAGAGTTTTTTTCCTGTCTGTTTTGTCTCTTTTGTGGAGGGCGCTTAGTGTACAAAGAGATGGGCAACAATTATTTTAAAAGATACTTTGGACATTTTGCATGAAGTGGCCATCTTTTCTAATCTGTCCACGGTTAGATATGACTCTTAGGTAAGAATGATCAGAAGTGGGCAGATGGTAAGTATTAACTTCAGTAAGGAAGAGAAAAGCTTCAGTTTCCATTTTACTGTCAGTAAGAATGGTTTTGAGAGTATAGTGCTTTCAGCACCCTCTGTAAGTCTTTTTGTGTGTGTTTCTGTAAAGTAATGGTATTGATGATGAAATCTTCATGATAGCAAATTGTTTTCTCTCTTTGAAATCCTTGAGCACTCTGGTGATTGTTGGAAAAAGGTGAGTGAAATTTTTAATCACATTGCTTTAACCGTAGAGGGATTATTGACAAGAGTCCTTTTAGAATCATTAGGAAATAGAGGAGAGTGTCTTGCTGCATACTTTTAAAAATGTCTCCGTCTTTTCAACCTGGAAGTGATCCTGTGTGTGATATAAAACCCAGTGGGGCTCCTGCCGGTTAGCTTGCAAATTGCTTTGCTGTGCTGTATGTAGAAAACATGGCAGCTTCCATCACTTTCTTATCATGGATTAAGACTCTGTTGCTTTCTTTAGTGGAAAGAAGGCTGATATGACAATGAAAATGAACTTTCTTTTATTTTCCAGATAATAATATGTTGCAGTATGTGCAGCAAATTATTGCTGGCTTTTTCCCCAGAGTGTGTACCCTGCCTTTGCCCTGTATACATGCTTTGCATCTATTATTTAAAAAGGCATTCAACTTTGTCCTGTATCTCCATTCTTAAATAATTTAAGAACACCCTGACTTGTACAATTCTGCCTTTGTAGCTTTGCATGTTCCCTCCACCTAGGAAAGCATACATTTCTAGATATTGGGCAGAGTTTAAAATGAAGAAAATATTTTATCTGATACTGTCCTGCATGTGAGCCCATAAGTGGGCCCAATTAGAATCCGTCAATTTAAGAAGGCCATAACCAGCCCTGGAGGAGACACAAAGGAGGCTGACACTTTGCTTAGGGTTTAGCAGTTAGGGGAATCAGGCCAGGGACTCTACAGGCTGTGTAAATCCTGGGCCATTTGCATGTTCTTACCAGCATTTAGTAAGGTCATAGTATGTTTGCTTATCAAGGACTTACCGCCATTGGTGAGTCGTCATCCATATATCAGGATCACTTGTCCTCTTAATTCCCTGAGACTAAAAGCAACTCTGGACACAGTCCTTATGTAGCTTGTTCCTCCTAAATTCAGAAAACCATCTTCTGTCTTTTGGACAGGTGAACATTTTAAAGGTACCTAATGTCCAGTTAGAAGAGGAATCATGGTTCAATCCTCAGGAAAGGAACATGGCTATAAGGAGTCACTGCCTTACGTGGACACAATATGCATCCATGAAGGAAGAGTCTGTCTTCCGGGAAAGTATAGAAAATCCAAATTGGTAAGATCACCTGTGTGTGTGTGTGTGTGCGCGCGCGCGCGCGCATGTAGGTTGGGTGCGGGGAAGCACAAATGAGCACGCATATTAAAAAGCCGTGATTCCATACTTATAACCTCTGTTTACAACTCACATAAATTATATACTATTAATTTTTAATCACACAAGGAATCAGTAAATAGATTTCCCTTTGGGGGAAAAATGACAGCCCAACTCCTTTCTGACTGTCCTATCCAATTTGGTGCCTTTTTGCCTTCTCCAGAGGCAGTGAGTGTTATCAGTGTATTGAGTATTCTTCCAGACCTTTAAGAGATACCTCTAGATACTCATAGAACCTGTATAGTATGGTTTTGATTATCTTTTTTACATACATGCTTTCATTCTGTGTAAATCATTGTGCACTTATCTTTTTTGTTTAGTAGAATGTTTCTAAACTTTATCCAGTTGATGTCTGTAAAATCTAGCTTATTCCTTTGAACTGCTGCATAGTGTTCAATCCTATCATTATACTACATTCTATTTAGCTTTTTTACTTTTGGACAGATGTTCAGATGGTTTCTAGTTACTCTTATATATATAAGCAGTACTGTAATATTTGTGAAGCGTACGATCCTTGTATATTCGATATGTGAATGTTTCTCTAAAGGAGAATTGATTTTATTATTGAAATATAGTTGACATACAGTATTATGTTAAAGGAGAATTTTTAGTTGTCAGGTTTATTGAGTTATTATTTACATACAAAATTTATTCTTCTTAGTGTACAATTCAATGAGTTTTGGCAAACACACACATATACAGTTGTGTATATTGCCACAATCAAGCTACAGAACACTTCAGGTAGATTTTAAAGAACTATATGCCGGGATAATTCCATGAGGAAAGAGTATTCTTTTCAACAAATGGTGCTGGCACAATTGCATATCCACATTCAAAAGAACGAAGATGGACCTCTATCTCACACCAAATACAAAATTAACTCAAAATGGATCAAAGAACTAAATGAAAGAGTTAAGACTATAAAACTATTAGGAAAAAACATAGGTGTAAGTCTATGCGATCTTGGATAAGGCAGTAGTTTCTTAGATATGACACCAAAAGCCCAAGCAACAAAAGAAAAAAATAGGTAAAATTGACTTCATCAAAATGAAAAACTTTTGTGCTTCAAAGGACACAGTCAAGAAGGTGAAAAGACAGCCCAACAAATGGGAGAAACTATTCGCAAACTGTATAACTGATAAGGGTTTAGTATCTAGCATATGTAAAAGACTGTTACAACTCAGTAATAAAAAGACAACCCAGTTAATAAAGGGGCAAGGCATTTGAGTAGATATTTATCCAGAAAGGTATACAGATGACCAATAAGTACATGAAAAGATGCTCAACATCTTTAGTGTTTCGGAAAATGCAAATTGAAACCACTTTGAGATACCGCTTCAAACCTGCCAGGATGGCTGTAATAAAAAAGAGACACAGTAACAAGCGTTGGAAAGGATGTGGAGAAATTGGAACCCTCGCACACTGCTGGTGGGAATGTAAATGGTGCAGCTGCTGTGGAAAACGGTTTTTCAGTGCCTCAAACAGTTAAATGTAGAGTTACCACTTGACCCAGCAATTCTACATTGTATTGAAAAAATCCACAAAAATTTGCAGGAATGTTCATAGCCCCATTATTTGTAATAGGCAGAATGTGGAAACAAGCCAAATGTCCTTCATCTGATGAATATATAACCAAATGTGGTATATCCATACAATGGAATATTATTCAGCCATAAAAAGAAATGGAGCAATGATTCATGTTACAATGTGGATGAAGCTTGAACACACTGTTTTCAGCGAAAGAAGCCAGTTACAAAAGACCATATATTGTTTGAGTCAGTTGATTTGAAATGTCCGTAACAGGCAGATCCATAGGGACAGAAAGTAGATTAGTGGTTGCCATGGGCAAGGAGGACAGGAGAAGAGGGAGTGAACTGCTGATGGGTATGGAATTTCTCTTTGGGGTGATGAAAATATCCTGGAACTAGCGTTGATGGTTGCACACCTCTGAAAATACTAAGACCACTGAACTGTATACCTTAAAGGGGTGAATTTCATGGTATATGAATTATTCCTCGATAAAAGAAAGTTATGTGGCTGGTTCTCAGGACATGCATCTTTTAAGTTTATACAGATTCTGTCACCAATATATTAATAAGTTAATTTGCACTCTCAGCAGCAGCACATGAAAGCTCATTTCCTACAATATTGCCAGGACTTAATATTAACATACTTTTTTATTTTTGCCAGTGTAATGGGTGAGAATGATTAATTCCTTTGAAATAGGTTTACAAACAAAAGCAAACTCTAACAAGCACCACATGTTAATAGTGATTATTGCTGTGAACTGTGATTTCAGAGGATAATTTACTGTATGTTTTTCTGTTCTATATGGTTTGAGATTTTTATTTACCTGTCATTTTAAGGGAAATAAAGCCCTCAAACCCAAGTAACTAAAAATCAGAAATCTAAAATCCGTCTGAAGCCCCATCACTTGTTCAAATCATTTCTGCTCCCCATAATTTTGGTCCTATAGTGATAATTCTAGAATGTTCCAGCAGCACACTGGGTGAGTATGAATGCCAAGTCTTATTAGCGTCTGAGGTAGGCTTGCTCTGAACCACCCACTAGCTTTTTTCTTCTTAGTCTCCCACATGTCAAGAGCTTCACATAGAACATAGATGTTTAGGATTAACTATAAAAGTTGTGGGTAAAGAATAGAGCTTTTCTTCTTCTTTTTTTGTAGAAGTAGTAAAAGGACAGAATTGGCTGATTTTATGCAAAAAGCACAGAAGTCTTTCATATACCTCATTTTAGCCTCATTTTATCAGCTACCTGGGCTGTCGGCTGGTCTGAAAAGCAGTACTAAACCTTCATCAGTTCTTTGTAAAATAATAACTGTCCTGGAGAATCCAAGAAAATGTCCTGCAGGACCTTTTTCCATTGTGTGTTTTTAAAATTATTTTTTAAATAGTCATTCTGATTTTGGAAAAAATGTTAAATGTATCTTGTAAAAAACACTAAATTCAGGGAAAAAAGAAGCAATTTTCATCATCTAACAATAGTGTCTGTTTACATAACTTTCTTGGTCCAATCCTAATGGCATTTAGATTGTTTCTGATTTTTCGCTATTATGAAGAATGCTGTGATGAGATCCCTATGATTACATATATCCTCACTTATTCAATGACCTTTTAAGGTCGATGGGACAGGTGGGATTTCTGGGTCAATTCAAAGGTTATGTGCATTTTATATTTTGATGCATATTACCAGATTCCTCTGTAAAAAAGTTCGACCAACTACAACTTTTCCTTTCTTTGGTTTGTTATGTTCCTGTCCTCTGCAAAACACTCTCTTTTTAATGATTGACACAGCAGGCCAGTATTTATTGACTCCTATTATGTCAAGGTCAAAGCTAGATCCTTCACCTGAGGTGTTTTGAAGCTAAGGTTAAATAACTTACCCAATATGTGACCACATCTTGAGCAAAGTGGTGACACAGGAATATGGACATTTTTAAAGGATGGACTGAATCTCAAGCTGTAGGTTGCTTTGGATTCCAGGTTTTGGAGAATGGGTTTTGTTCTTCTGGCAACAAGCAGTCACACAAAGGTTTCTGAGCAGGGGGTGATGTAATGACAGCTGTGATTTAGGCTCTGGGAAACATGTTTTCTTAGGTCTTGACATGGATTTAGAAAGGCATTTTAGGTGGACATTCTAAATGAGTGGGGAATCTTGGGGGGACATGAAAGAAAGGACCCATTATTATTTCCATTCCCCTCCTTTGCAGGGAATGTGAGAGTAAGGGCTATCCGCTGCACCCAGAAGAGGAAATACGGACAATCTTTTTTTAAAGAAAAAAAAATGCTGTCACGGCTGCTGAGTCTAAAATTAGACCTTCAAGCTGTGTGTTGGTTAGCAGGTGTGGATGTGTGACGGGAAACCAGATGTCATTCTGTCCCTGTGCGTGACCCGTCGGCTCAGTGCAGGGATGGCCTGAAATGGGTTTCCCGTAGAATCTGGCCAAGCCTTGATCTGTGTCTCTTTACTAGATCCAGTTTTGGCTCTCTGCTGACGTCTCTGCAGTTGTGGCACCTTCTTGGGCAAGAGCTCCTTCGGTCTTTCTCTGTCTGTGTATCACACAGCTGGGTATTTCTAATGTGCTTTCTTCCTTTATTAACTTCACTGGGCATTTTTTCTCTGCAGTTTTTATGGAATGGAGTTTACATCCTTTTCAGAAGCTAGAGTGATGTGATGTTTTGCACTCATCTCAAATTTTCCAGAGTCCAGCTTGGCACTCCATGCCTCAGAGACGTCCTCCTATATTAGTTCTGTCCCTTCTCCTATACCCATCAGGCCACCTTCCACAGCAAATTACAGACACCCTGACTCAGGTGATTCCAGCCATCACTTATTTATGTTTACTAGGTGCCAGCCTCTGTTCTAAGTGCTTGATATATGTATGTATTTGTGTATATATGAGTTTATATATATAAATTCATTTAATTCTCATAGCAACCCTATGAGGTTGGAACTATGATTATGCCCATTTTACAACTTGAGGCTTAGAGAAGTTAAGTAACTTATACTAGCTAAGATGGCCAGTAAGTGTCAGAGTCAGATTCAAACTCCAGGTGGTTTGGCTGCAGAATCTATGCTGCTGGCAATGACGCTGTCCTTCCTCTTAGTAAGGAGCTCTATTATCTCATAACCAAGTGGGGTACAGTTTCATAGTTGTTCTTTCGGCTCCACCTTTCCCTGTGTATCCGATTTTTTTTTTCAAGTTTGTTTAGCTCATGGCTGCCAGCAGCAGCTAGGGTAGCACACATACTTGTCCTCATTTAGTGAGGGAAAGAGACCTGTGAGAGTGAGAGAACCCATCCCAACCAAGAGGGAAAAGGCCTTTCCCTGAATCTCTTTGCGACAGCCTCAGTCACCTGCTACCTCGTGGACCAGTAAGAGTG